CCGGCCTGGCCCCTCGCCTCCCAACCAGGGCACCCTCCCACCGTCCCCGCCTCCCGGGGTCGCGGTCGAGGTCCGGGTGGCCTTGGCGGGCGAGGGGCTTCTCTCTCCCGAAGGGAAAGGCGCCCGCGCCCAGACGCCGCTCCCAACCTCCGGGCAAGGCTGCCCTCGGAAAGGACCTCTTCGATGGCTGGCCAGGCATTTCTGCTCTGACTGGATTTCTCCTGCCACTTGTGTCTCCCGTTTCTCACGGTGGCCTTGGTTTTTCTTTTTTTAACTGTACCCATACTATTCTTAGCGTTAATAGTGCCTTTTAATTACATAACATGCCTCTTCCTACTACATTCGCCTTCGGTTTAAGTCTAATCTTTTAATGAGGCGAACCACCCTTGTCCGCTCGTTTGCTTTCAGCTTGAAATGTTGCCTTTCACGGTTGTAAGCCGCCTTTGGGCCCTTGTCAGGGAGAAAGGCGGGGTCAACATGTTTGAAAGAAGTCGATAAATGCCGGCGGAATCCTTTTCTCGGGCTCACTCCAGAGGTCCAACAAGGCAGAGGCACATGTTTGAAATCTCCGGTCCAGGTCCCCTCATGGGACAAGATTGTGCCCAAAGCAGATCGGTGGAGTAGAGAGGAAATGGGGATGAGAGCTGAAGGAAGACCAGCTGGACATTTAAATAATAACCTCAGCATATTTGGTATTTGTTAAAAGTAATTGTTAGTTGGTTTTCCACCACCAGGGCTCTCAGAATCACCTATAAAGGCAGATGAAAAACCATTTTTAAAAGCCAGGTTTGAAAACCAGGGCTTTACGAGAATTATAGCAGTTTTGGCCATCCACTGGACTGGAGCTGAGAGAGTTCCACAATGGAGGGGCTGCTCCAGAGAAAACTGTATTTTGCACCAGGAAGTTGCTAAGAGGAAATGTGGCAGGGGAGTTTGCAGGCCTTGGAAGTTGTATCTCTTCTCCCCAGATGCACCGGGAATCCATGCAAAAACATAACTGCTGATGCACAATCAGATAGGAAGTCAACCAGCTGGCCATGGAATTGCTAGTCCATGTTTGTTTGGTGTGTGGAATAGCCAAGATCCAAGCCTGCCTGGAGGTCTGTCAGAAATCCCTCTCTCTAATCTCCAGATGCATTAAATATCAGGTTAGAAGGATTCAGTGAAGGAGCAACCTCTGATTGCTTTCATTTGCCAGGACTGTTCCAATGAGCCTGCAAATCAGGCTTCTCCAAACCACCGCCTATGAGATGTTTGGATTTAATCCACCAACGTTGCTCCCTATCAACTGTACTGTCTGCAGCTGATGGGAAAGGAAGCTAAAACACCTAGCAAAGCACAAGGATGGGGAAACTTGCTGTAGAGTAAGCTGAGCAGTAACTTTTCAGACCACTTTAGTTTCAGAAAGAAAAACAAAGTATTGTGGCACCTTAAAAAACAACAACGAATGGCTAAATAATAACAACTATGTGCTCCCAAGTCACCTTCAGACTGACGGCCACCCTTGCCAAGGGTTTCTAGTACAGTGGTGCCTCGCTAGACAGTTACCACGCATGGCAGTTTTTTTCGCTAGACATTGACTTTTTTAAATCACTATAGTGATTCGCAAAACAGTGATTCCTATGGGGGAATTTCGCTGGACAATGTTTGGTCCCTGCTTCACAAACCAATTTTCGCTAGACGATGATTTTGACAGCTCCCTCTGCGCTCGCAAAACAGGTGTTATCAGGACCTAAGCTTTGCAAGACAGCGATTTAAACAGCTGATCGGCGGTTCGCAAAGCGGCTTTCCTATGGCCAATCTTCGCTAGATAACGACGATTCTTCCCCACTGGAATACATTAAACAGGTTTCAATGCATTCCAATGGGGAAATGTTTTTCGCTAGACAATGATTTCGCTAAACAGCAATTTCAGTGGAACGGATTATCATTGTCTAGCAAGGCACCACTGTATAATGTACTCAGAAGTGATTTTCCTCACCCGCCTTTTGATAATGATGAGCTGCCTGTGTGGTGTCATGGATGGACTGACTCAGTGGTGGTGGTGGCAGCACAGGTAAAATCATTGGCTAAATATCTCACATACTTTGAAAACTCTATTAGGGTCACCATAAGACAAATGCAAGTTGACAGTACCTATCTATTTAAGTTAATTTTGTACAACTAATTGTGTAACTGAAAGGATACTGCATAGGCACATTTGGTTTGCAAATTCAATACATATACATTGGTGGAGCAGGAGGTTCTTGTTGAAAATATCAGCAGTGCAAGAAAGTTCATTCTGTCCCCAGGTAAAGCTAGAGAACACACCTACACAGATAGTTTTCTTCTCACCTTTTCACCTGGATTGTAGATAAATGTTGAAAGGAAATCATACAGCAGAAAGGGAAGAAAGCTTCTGGTCTGAAGTTTCTCCTGGGCACATGTCTCTTGCACCCACCAGCATTTATAACTTTACAAGGGACACTTGACCTTTCTGAAGAAAATAAACCAAGGCTGTTGGATAGATGTGTTTGTGATGCCCTATCACTGGAATGTTCTCCCCAGGTTTCTCAGGTTTTTACAGTATCAGTTGAGCTGAGTAAGTTTCATTTGTCTTAACTGTTTCACTTGTGTTTTTGTTTTCTGTGGTTTTAGCATGGCTTAATTTGTTGTGAACTTATTTTATATATTTATACATTATTCTTTGGCAACTTACACTGAAGACACTGGTTTGAATTCTGAAATAAACTACTGTAATTCAATCAACTATCTAGAAACATAGAATTACTTAAAAGATTTAATAAGGTCCTTTGAAATCCATTGCCCATGAAAGTGGAATGCCTCCTCATTGAGCTTCCTATAATTCTCTAAATAATGTTCTAGGGTTTTCTAAGCTTCCAGGCAATGTTTTTAGGGTGCACAGGTGGTTGCAGGAGGAAAGAGAGTTTGCCAGTTCTGGTAGAAGGTGCGGATCCCTAGAGGTACACCATTGGCTATGACTGTTTCATGCCAAAACTCAACTGTTGAACAAATTATCTTAAACAGTATACATTTCCCTTTTATGTTTACAGATATTATCCGAGGTACAGTTTTCTTAGACCGAGCAGATGGTACATGCCACATGGTACTTTTGTTCTTTCACAACTATTAAATGTAAAATTATCTAAAGGCATTCTTGGAACAATGTCTGTGTACATCAGAGACCTTCTATATTCTTGTTTCTGTTGATTTTATATTGCAAGTGTATTTTACAATGAAACCAAATCAAATTAAAAATGTGGTTATTTACTAAAATATTTATTTACCATTTATATAAACTTGAATCTTTAAATACAAAACTACAAACAGGATAATTTAAATTTATATCTTTGTTATTTTAAACAATATACAGACTCCAAAAACTGCAGTAGGCACATTATATGAAATGAAAAGAAGGGCAGGTCTGCTGCTCCCTTATACCAGGTCCTTCAGCTCCAATATTTGATTTTCAGCAAGTAGCTAAATACACTCTTCAGGAGGAGAACTGCCATGAAATGACTAGAATCAGGAAGCCACCTAACAACTCTAATAGTTTTTGCTCTCTCTCCACACTTTCAAAACATACATTTGCTTTCAAAAATTGAGAGGGAAATAATTTTCTAAGTATGCATTTCCACATATTAAGCAAAACATTTAAACACAGTCATTTGCACAACAGGGGAAAGTATCCATAATACTAATCATCAATATAAACAATTTTTAACACCTTCATGTAAGACATCACCATCCTAACACTTAACACAATGCCATAAAATGGATTAAATTCCTAGATAAATCTTTTCCAACGTCTGCAAAGATGCACAAATATGGTACCTCAGTAGCACAGAAGATTACAAGAAAAGACAATGACCAAACTCAAGTTGGTAGTTTATGAGTAACTAAGTGAAAATGTGGAGGTTGTGGTAGCTGAAGCTGATGAGGCACTGGTCATTTAACTGGCCATATAACCAGCACCATGCTAATGCTAGCCAGACTTTTCATTTCTAGTTCTGTTAGGCATCACAATGATAATTTTAACAAAATCCTAAAATCAGGTTCAACATTTTGCAAGGGTTAAATTCAATTTAATGAACACTTTCATGACAATGGGTCTCACTGAACCTCCAAGTAAATGTGCATAAGGTTAGGCTCCATAAAGTATATCACTAGCTGTAACAAGGTATAATCTCATTGCATCTTCCCTTCTAAAGACCAGACAGCACAGTTGTACTGCATGGACATTATACCAGAACATATGAAACATTCAGGTGTTGCGCACATCCGTATCTTGCTGATGCTACCTGTGCGCTATACTGCTTTTCATTTTTGGACTAATCAGAGATTGATACTGAAAATGCTGTCTATTGACTAAATAATACATGAAAGAGCACCCATTAAATGGGAAGGGCACTTGCCATTTTACAATGAAATGGGCAAGAAACCTCATGTCACCAAATTAGTCTTCATCACTAGACACATGAAACTCCCCTCAGTTAATTACAGTACAGGGCTGTATAGACATGCCTTTTCATGTCACCAAATTAGTCTTCATCACTAGACTAATGTACACATGAAACTCCCCTCAGTTAATTATAGTACAGGGCTGTATAGACATTCCTTTTTTCTCTCACACATGGAAGCTTTAGACTTGCAAGCAGTAGCTGAGGTATAAAAGGAGCAAATAGCGTTTGGGCTCCTGTGGGGAAGGGATGTTAACATGAATTAAACCCAAAGCAACAAGTCAATCATGTGAACAATAAATTTATCCATTGGATCACTTGGCAAAAATATTTTCTTAGAAGATTGCTACAACTGCCAGAAGTGAAATGCTATGGTATTATCTTGGCTTCAGGTGTAACACTTCTATCTATCATCAGTAGTTTTTACCCCTTTGCAAGGGCTAGGAATATTTTTTTTAACTCTGGAAAAAGACATTTTATTCTTCTAGAAAGTAGTTACCTTTATCTTGTATATTATTAAAAAGAAACTGATTTCCAATATAATAAAAACACTCTTTTGATACCTTTCCTGACATGAAGTACATATTAAACAACAACCATATTTGATAATGACTTTGGCATCTACTATCTTGAAATATATAATTCTCCCTACTCTTAGGTGCACTGCCTGTCCATTTAATCTCCCCTTATCCACTGACTTTGCACAAGGGAAGACAACGACTTAACATAATGTAAACAAAATGTTATTTCCCCCCTCCCCAACATTCATAAATGATCATACCATGAGAAGATCAAGATAGCACCAATTGCCTGTTGTTTATCAACATTAATTTGATCTATCCTTTTATAAGTAATTCTAAATATTCCAGTATGTCAATACCGGACGACCATAGGACAACTGAAGCCTGCACAGGAACGTTTTCAGATAATATCATGTTCTCTAATGTATATCCTTGTCTTGGCATAACAACATCATCCTTTTTCAAACACATGACTGGGCACAGGTCATTTCCACCATCACCTATATATATAATTTGTGAGTACTTCACCCTTGGCGTCACATGATGGTCTAAGAACTCTTCTAAGACTTTCTTTTTGCAGAGGTTAACGGGGCACTTGACGCAATCATGGACATGGCAGTTTTGTACAGTAAGATATCCACAGCCATCAAAACTTGCAGGATTTGTAAACACTTCATCAAATAGCTCAGAAATACTAGCAGCTTTTAAAATCCAATCAATAAATATTGCATTAGAATCTGATATAATTATACAGTCAAAAAAGTCTTTGTGTTTACGTATAAAGTCTAGGAGTTCTTTCATTCCTGCAGTGAATGGGATTGCTGTCATAGTCCTTTTCATCTCCTCTTCTCTTACTCCATTGTCTCCCAGATACCTGAAGACTCTGCCCATGTATTCTGTCCAATGTCCTTTTTTATAAGAATTTTTAATTTCATCAGGAAGCTTTGCAGCAGGTGCACATTTCACAATCCAAGTATCACTATTTTCATCAACGATTGTATGGTCAAAATCAAAAACCAGCAGAAACTTCATTGTTGCTGGGTAAATGCAACCCTACGAATTAAAGAGAACTTTGTTAAAATGCTTTATTACTATGTACAACTGATTATATTGCAGACTGGTGATAGACCTGGAAAGAAAATTTTGTTAGACTGCATATAAACAGTGGTCCTGTACTTTGACCGTGACCCTTTTCTGTCAGTTCTATGAAAAAAATAATGTAGTATCTTGCTCAAAAAGCAAACTGCACATCACAGTGTTTCACTATGTACCCGAAAGAACAGAATATTCACTACAATAATACCCTAAAATATGGTTAGAATATTGGATTAGGACCACAACCTTTGCTTGCCTATGAAAATCACCTTCTACCTAATAATGTATACCTCACAGGGTTGTTATAATCAAATGTGGAGCTCATTGGGATTAAAATGGAATGCAAATGTTGGGAAGTAATAAACCATACCATACCAAGTAAGTTTAAAGTCCAGATCTAAAGACAATTAGGATCACATTTTGTTCTAGGCTTAAATTTAAAATGTATAAGATACACATGCATTGAACAGAAGTGGCTGAGTAATATTTAGATATGATAAAAGCTAAAGAAAATATTAGTGTTTAAGTGTTACAGGATTCTTACTTCTGTTTCTGCTGCAACTAACACAGTTATGTATTCTCGAAGGCTTTCATGGCCTTTTAATGGAAAAAGAAATGGTGGACTACACAGCCAGACAAAAAAAGAAATTCAACAAATGCCAAACAAGTCAACCGAAGCCTACACTAGACACCTCACACATATCATCAACCTATCTGAACGTCAACTCTCCCCAGAAGACCGAGCACAGCAGATGGAACGCTGGGTACAGCACTACTCTGAGCTATATTCCAGAGAGAATGTAGTAACCGAAGAAGCATTAAATAACATTGAGTGCCTGCCTGTCTTGGAAGAGCTGGACAACGAACCAACCCTAGCAGAAATAAAAGCGGCCTTGGACTTCCTCGCCTCCGGCAAGGCACCTGGAAAGGATAACATCCCTGCTGAAGTGCTGAAATGCGGTAAGGAGATCATCACCACTGAACTGTATGAAGTCTCTTGTCTCTGCTGGAGGGAAGGTGGAGTACCACAGGACATGAAGGATGCAAACATCGTCGTGCAGGGAAAGCGCCCCAGAGGGAGACCACAACTGCGATACAAGGACATCTGCAAGCGAGATCTGAAGGCCTTAGGAATAGACCTCAACAGATGGGAAACCCTGACATCTGACCGTTCAGCCTGGAGGCAGGCAGTGCATCACGGCCTCTCCCAATTTGAAGAGACCCTTGCCCAGCAGGCCGAGGCAAAGAGGAAGTCACATAAGCAGCAAAACCAGGGAGCCGGACAGGGGACAGACTGGGTTTGTCTTCAGTGTGGAAGGGACTGTCACTCTCGAATTGGCCTTCTCAGCCACACTAGGCACTGTTCCAAGCCCTCCATACAGAGCACGCTACCATAGTCTTTCGAGACTGAAGGATGCCTAACAGGGTTGTTATAATCAAATGTGGAGCTCATTGGGATTAAAATGGAATGCAAATGTTGGGAAGTAATAAACCATACCATACCAAGTAAGTTTAAAGTCCAGATCTAAAGAGAATTAGGATCACATTTTGTTCTAGGCTTAAATTTAAAATGTATAAGATACACATGCATTGAACAGAAGTGGCTGAGTAATATTTAGATATGATAAAAGCTAAAGAAAATATTAGTGTTTAAGTGTTACAGGATTCTTACTTCTGTTTCTGCTGCAACTAACACAGTTATGTATTCTCGAAGGCTTTCATGGCCTTTTAATGGAAAAAGAAATGGTGGACTACACAGCCAGACAAAAAAAGAAATTCCACAAATGCCAAACAAGTCAACCGAAGCCTATACTAGACACCTCACACATATCATCAACCTATCTGAACGTCAACTCTCCCCAGAAGAAACCTTGGTCTAAGCCAAAGGAGGAAACTTCACAGTCATATCCAGTAAAATTCCAGTAGAAGGCATCATTACCAATGTGGAATCAGCCATATACCATCTTTCCAGAAATTAAAACAGAAGAAACAAGAGATGAAGTGAAAAGGATCCTACGAAAAGCAAAAACCCCAAACAGCAACATAACAAGAACGAGAGAAATGCTATTAAGCCCCTAAAATCAGATCCTGATATCATCATCCTGCCAGCTGACAAAGGCAACACCAAAGTAATGATGCAAACAGAAGAATACAAAAACAAAATCAGGGAAGTTCTAGACCCCACCACCTACAGAAAATTGAAACGGGACCCAACCAACAAAATCACAAAACAAACAAACATGCTGATCAGGAGTTCCTCCCTGCATCCCAACGTCCTTCAATGAATCTGCAAGACAGAAGTTCTCTCACCAAGACTGTACGGACTCCCCAAAATCCACAAAGACTCAATCCCACTCAGGCCCATTGTACATTCCATTGGCTCCCAACATATGAATTAGCAAAATACCAAGCCACAATCCTATAGACCCACATTAGACAAACTTCATCCTATATCAAAGACTCAAAACATTTCATAAACAAAATCAGCACTCTAAAATTCAACCCCAGGGACAGACTGATCATCTTTGATGTACTATCCCTATTCACCAAGGTACTGAGATAAAGGACACTCTGACACTTATCCAGCAGATCTTTCCAGAGGACATCAGGCCCTTTTCCAACACTGCCTAATGACCAGCTACTTTCAGTGGGATAATGATTTCTATAAAAAGACAGATGGGGTGGCCATGGGGAGCCCCCTCAGCCCAGCTATAGCGAACTTCTGCATGGAACATTTAAAAGAACAGACCCTGGCTTCGGCACCCTTTGCACCCACAATCTGGTTCCAATACATGGATGACACCTTCGCAATTTGGAGCCACGGTGAAAAAAAACTGGAAGAATTTCTAAACCATGTCAATAGCATCCACGCAAATATATAATTCACCAAGGAAACAGAAATAGAGGGCCAACTCCCTTACTTAAGATGTCATGGTCATACGTAAACCTGACCTTCTATTGGGAGACAAGGTCTGCAGAAAACCCACTAACACAGACCAGTATCTACACAAAAACTCCAACCACCACCCATGACAAAAAAGAAGCACAATCAAAACACTGGTAGACCATGGGAATTGTAACCATGATGCTCAATTTCTCAGCACCAAACTCAATCATCTGAATTGGGCCCTACAGGCAAATGTCTATTCCAAGAATGAAATCACAAGAGCCATCAAACTGAGAAAACAACACCAAACTGAAGAAGAAAAATAGCCAACCACAAATAAAGCATTTCTGCAATACATCAAAGGGGTCACAGACCGCATGAAAAAACACAACCTACAAACAGTATTCAGGCCCACCACAAAACTACAACAAATGTTACGGTCAGCGAAGGCCAAAAGGAACCCCCTCACCACTGCAGGAGTATACCGGATACCTTGCAGTTGTGGCCAAGTATATATTGGGACCACAAAATGCAGCATCCATACCAGAATCAAAGAACATGAAAGATACTGCATACTAAAACACCCGGAAAAATCGGCAGTAGCTGAACATGCCCTGAAACAAGCTGGATATGAAATCCTATTGCAAAATACAGAAGTACTGGACAGCACCAGCAATCACTGTTAGACCACACAGGAAAGCCATTGGAAAAAAAAACACCAGCACAGCTTCAACAAAAAAGAAGAAACTCTAAAAATGAACAAAGCCTGGCTCCCAGCACTGAAAAATGCAGCCTGCAAAAAGGTCAATGAACTCTACCCAGCCACAAGGACCAGTGATCACTGCACACAAAACACCAGCTAATGACACCCATCAACCACAGTGACAGATCATCTCCCCACCTTATCACAACAATAGACCCATAACAAAAAAAGAGAGGTTACCTACTTGTAACCATAGTTCTTCTAGTGGTCCTCTGTGAATCCACACAATTGGGTTGTTCTGCACCTACACTGAACACCTCGGAAGTTTCTAGAGCTTAAAGACACATGATTAGTGGCACGTTCCCCCATGGAGCACATGCTCCACCCATCCTAAGTCCCCTCAGTTCCTGATAAGTGTCCACCATGTAAAAGAACTATTTAAGATAAAATGTGACAGACAGAGGGGAGGACAGGTGGGATGTGTGGATTCATGGAGGACCACTAGATCATGATTACAGGTAGGTAACCTCTTTTTCTTCTTCGTGGCCTCTGTGAATGCACACAACTGGGTGACAAGCAAGCTCACTTACTGGATGGTAGGACGTCACGGTAGAAAGGATGCCAGGACAGCTCTGTTAAAACCAGCGTCACTCTGTGTTCTGACATCCAAACGGTAGTGCCCGATAAAGGTCAATGGAGTAGACCATGTGGCCACACAGCAGATGTGAGGGAGTTCAATCTCACGCTGGAAGGGAGTGGACGTTGACAGCACTCTGGTGGAATGTGCCGTAAAGTGTTCAGGAGGTGATTTGTCTGATAACTTGTACGCCAATGATATAGTTTGGACAATCCATCTAGAAAGAGATTGTGGAGAAGTTGGTGCTCCTTTGTGAGGACTGTGAAAACATAGAAAAAGTCTATGTGATTTCCTGAAAGGCTTGGTCCTGTCAATGTAGATGGCAAGAGAGTGTCATATGTCAAGTAAATGGAGCATGCGCTCGAGAGGTGTTGATGGAGACTGAAAGAGTGTTGGTAGGATGATTGGTTGATTAAGGTGAAATTCAGATACAACTTTGGGTAAGAAGTAAACATCAAAATACAATGTGACTTTATCCAGATGGAACTGGAGGAAGTGTGGATCGGACCGGAGGGCCGCAAGTTCAGTAGCTCATTTAGCTGATGTTATTGCTACAAGAAAGGAAGTTTTCAATGATAATATGTAATTTGAGATTGCATGTAGCCATAGGTTCAAAGGGTGGACACATAAGTATATCAAAGACAAGCTGTAAAGACCATTGAGGGATAATACATTGGCGTGGAGGACGAATATTGTTAAGTCCTTTGAGAAACCTTTTCACAGTTGGGTGAGAAAAGAGTTTAGCTGATTTAGAATTGGGAGGCTGATGAGCTACAATAGCTGAGATGTAGACTCAAAGTGGAGTAGGATAATCCAAAATTGAATAGATGAAGGAGAAAGGTAAGTAAAGTTTCAAAGGAGACTGGTGTTGCAGGTAAGTTGTTAGAATCAGTGAAGGAGAGGAATGCATTCCATTTATTTTTATGTAGCAGCTGGGTCGAGGGCTTTCAAGCTCAATCAAGCACATCCTTTATGGCGGGAGTATCCTCCAGGCTGTCAGATTCAAAGATGGTATGTCTGGGTGGTAGATCATTCCATTTTCCTGTGTGAGAAGACCAAGGACCAGAGGGAGCCTGAGTTGGTTGACATCGACCTGAGATGGGTGAACCACGGTTGCATCGGCCACCATGGGGTGAGAAGGATTGCATTGGACTGGAACTGTTGGGAGTCGAATGATAATCCTTTGTATGAGTGGTATGGGAGGAAACAGATAAAGTAGGTCCTTGTCCCAATCTATCATGAATGTGTCTCCGATGAAGTTCTTGTCGACACTGGCTCAGGATCAGTAATGTTGGCATTTGGCATTTGCTCGTGAAGCAAAAATGTCAATGGTAGGAGTGCCCCAATGATCGCACAAGAGATTGAAGATGGAATCGTTTAGAGACCATTCGTGTGTCCTCGATGTCAGGCAACTGACATAGTCTGCGAGGGAGCTTTCTTCTGTGGCTATGTGGACTGCTATTGGGAAGTTGTGATGGAGGTAACACCATTCCCAGAGCTCGATGGTGAGGTACAGAAGGGATAAAGAATGTGTGCCTCCTTGTTTGTTTATCTAGTAAAAGGCAGTAGTGTTGTCTGTGATGAGTTGGACTGCGCGTTCCGCGAGAAGTGGTAGGAAACTGTGGAAAGCTCTGATAATTGCTAAAAGTTTGAGATGACTGATGTGCAATGATTTTTCCTGATTTGTCCATAAACCATGAATCTTGTGATGCAGACAGTGTGCTCCCCAGCCCGATTTGCTGGCATTGGTGGTAATTTGTATCATCGGTTGAAGAGGGGAAAAGGGTCATCCGATGAGTAGATTCAGGAGAAATATCCACCAAGTGAGTTGACGTGCCAATTCGGGTGTTACCATTAGACGCACTGATGGGTGGTCTGTCACAGGATTGAATAGGGATAGATACCATGATTGAAGTGACATCATTTTGAGTCGAGCGTGTTATATGACCGAGGTTGTCGAGGCCATAAGTCCGAGAAGATGTTGGACATGATGGGCTGATACGGAGGCTAGAGGTCGGAAGGGTTGAATAGGCTTTTTTAATTTGAGGATTCTGTCTTGTGGAAGGAAGGCTCTGGCCCTGAAGTGGGCCCCGATGTAGGTGGCATTTTGAGAAAGTTCGACATACGGTTTTGTGAGATTCACCTTGAGTCCGAGATCTCGAAGTGTGTTGAGAATAAGATGTGTGGCTTTGATGGCATCGTGGTAAGACGTTGGGACTACCAGCCAGTTGTCTATGTAAGGAAATATGTTGATACCTTGAAGTCGAAGGTAGGCAGCGACTGGTGCCACGCATTTTGTAAAGGTTCTTGGTGCTGTGGAAAGCCCGAAATGAAGAGAGCAAAACTGGTATGTAGTGTTGTCGAATTGGAAGTGAAGAAATTTGTGGTAATGTGGATGAATAGAGACATGGAAATATGTGTCTTGGAGATCGATGACGACGAACCAATCTCCCTGCGAAGAGAGAGGAATGATAATCTAATGTCAACATTATGAAGCGTCGAGGTCGAATACATTTGTTGAGATTTCTGAGATAGAGGATGGGATGGAGTCCTCCATCCTTTGTGGGTACTGTAAAGTATCTGTTTTCTGAGATAGAGGATGGGATGGAGTCCTTCATCCTTTGTGGGTACTGTAAAGTATCTGGAGTAGAAGCCATCATGCAAGTCAGATGAAGGGACTGTGGTTATGGCTTGTTTTCGAAGAAGAGAAACTTATTGAAGAATTGTAGAATAGGGGGTATTTTAGATTTTTCCAATTAGTGGAGCTTTAAATTCAATAAAGCAACCATATTTGATGATAGAAAGGACCCATTGATCACTAGTTATAGACTGCCATGCACGAAAGAATGGTCTTAGTCTGGTTTGAAACTGAATTTGAGAACAGAAAAAATGTAATGGGAGTTTATGGGTATTGCTTACCCTTCTTTTGAGGCCGGTGAAAGGGCTGGTGGTGCTGTTGTTGCTGGTTCCGAAAGGGCGGAGGTGCAGAGGTTGAAGGTCCCTGAAAGGGTCTTTCGGATGATTGGGGTTTATATTGGCGATATGGGTGAAATTGTTGGTATGGTTGTTGGTAGAATGACTGTCGTCGGTATTGTGGCCGTTGATATTTGTAGGTCTGTTGGGTTGAGTAGGACCAGGCTGTTTTACATACTTTATGAAGATTTTCCATTACTTCATTAGTTTTTTTGGTTGAATAGTCCAGCTCCATCAAATGGCAGATCTATTCTAGATCTGGTATCATCTGAAAGTCCAGCAGATCGAAGCCATGTATGGCGCCTTAAGGCGATAGAGGTGGCCATGGATTTAGATGCAGCATCTACAGTGTGGCGAGACACAATTCTTTGTTGCTTAGAAAGCATAGAAGCTTCAGTATGGATGTTGATGGCTTCTGTTTTAACTGAGTCAGGAGGTGATTCGAGTAGGGGTAGAATTTTGTTCCATAGTTGTCTATGGTAAGCTCCCATTGCCACTTGATAGTTTGCCACTCGCAGTATGAACGAAGTAAGGGAATAGAGTCGTTGGCCAAGTATATCCAGTTTTCTGGATATCTGAAGGTTTTCTTCCTTCTCTGTTTGTGGGAGCAATGGAAGATTTGTTACAGGCTCTGGATTGGTTGGATTTGACTATTATTGAGTTTGGAGTATGGTGTTTGATGAGAAAACCGGTGTTGGGCCCGTGTGTCTTGTAATGGTTTTTAGTGCATCTGGAAATCTGTAAGGATGAGGGAGGTTTGTCCCAAGATTCTTTGATTAGATCAAGCATCCTTCTCTGTTTGTGGGAGCAATGGAAGATTTGTTACAGGCTCTGGATTGGTTGGATTTGACTATTATTGAGTTTGGAGTATGGTGTTTGATGAGAAAACCGGTGTTGGGCCCGTGTGTCTTGTAATGGTTTTTAGTGCATCTGGAAATCTGTAAGGATGAGGGAGGTTTGTCCCAAGATTCTTTGATTAGATCAAGCATGGCCGGAATGAATGTGAGACTGAGAGGAGGTGTTTATCTGGATTCATATTAGCCCGAAAAACCCACAACAACCACAATGAGGTAAAGTGTTCTGACGGAGACGGTGGGTGGTTCTCAATGACATCGGAAGTTGATGTTGCTAAGTTTGATGGTGACTCCTGTGATGTGTCCGAGAGACTGAGAGGAGGTGTTTATCTGGATTCATATTATCAAAGACCAAGTCTTGTTTAGGTGGTGGCGATTCCTCGATTTCAAGTTGTAAATATTTGGCCATTCTCATAACAAGTTGGGAGTACAAGGTAAAGTATTTGCGAAGGCTTTCACGACTAGCCTAGGTCTTGAATTGATGAAGATGAGGAGGAGGAAGATAGGTCTCGAGGTCAATAATTGTGCAGAAGGAGGCTGGACTGTAGGAGGGCATGTGGAACAGCCTAGGTCTTGAATTGATGAAGATGAGGGAGATAGGTCTCTAGGTCAATGATTGTGCAGAAGGAGGCTGGACTGCAGGAGGGCATGTGGAATGCCTCTCTGTATTGGTAGGTGGAGGAAGGGGACCTTTATAAGTAGTGGTGACTTGTAGTGACATTTGAGGAAGACTGTTTGGAGCCTTTGGACTGAGAGTATTGTACTGTTGGTAGAGAACATTTTAAAGTTGGTTTGGCTGGGAGAGTAGAATGGGCTGGTACATAATGTTGAGATCTGTGTCAATGTCGAGGGGGAGATGGAGAAAGTGATGGTGAATATCAAGGTGGATATAGTAGGGTATACCAAACCCGTTTGGGTTCCTCATAATATAGTTGTTCTAGAGTATCTTCAATGATATACTGTAAGGGTCGTATTGGTAATCTCTCTCTCTTGTCATCTCGAAACTGGTATCATGATGATTGTGGGTAAAAGTAGTACTCCCTATGTGGAGGGTCATACTGAGGGGGCAAAAGATCCTTTTGTTTCTCTCAGTGTTTTCTCAGAGAGTGATGAGGTGAATCAGAGCCAGAAAGCTTGATTGAAATTGCCCACCCTGATGATGCAGGGCTTGAATGGGCTGAGGCCTGGCTGGAATGCACATCAGCCCGAGACAGGCCAACACTCGGCGACAGGCTACCAGTAGAGACTAGAGCTTGGGCTGGAGGTAGAGATGGGTCATCTCTGTCAGATGTAGAGCCTGGAGCATCTCTGGATGATTCTTTCATAATGGGAGATGGAAGGGTCGGTTGTGGTGGATCAAGATGAGTTGATTTTGAGGTATTTTTTGGCTTTTTAATATCATTTTGTATTTCTTCTTTTTTGAAGAGTCTAGGGATCTAGTCGAGGTCTTCGATGTCGATGACTTCGATTTTGATGTGAACTTTAACTTCTCTTTGGAATGGGGAGAAGGAGTCACGGAGCTGGAAGCAGGCATGGACGGGTTTTGCCACTCTATTTGAGGGTCTGGAGACTGTGTAGACTCCCAACCTGTGGGGTTGAGAGATTTCTCCCAAAGTTAAGACCTCAATTTTTGGAGGCAAAGTTTAAGGGGTGGTTTCGTTAACCTCTTTCATGCAGAACAGGAATGTGTAGGATGTTCTTCTCCAAGGCAAAAGAGACAGTGTGCTTGTCAGTTAGCGAAATTTTGTTTGAACGGGTAACACACTGCTTCAAAGGCCTGTCCCCCCCATAAAGAGTGGGAAGGATAGGAGGGAAAAACGGTCACGGGGTGGGGGGAGACAAAACATGGGTAAATAAAAACTGGAAAGAACTCACAGGGAAAACGTTGAATAAAGAAAACGATTGTAAAAATGATGATAATCCAGAATGCGATTGATTAGAATGCTCTATTTCTCCAAAACAGGTCTGATCAACACGGCAGAAAAAAGGAACTGAGGGGACTTAGGATGAGTGGAGCATGCGTTCCATGGGGGAACATCCCACTAATCATGTATTTTTAAGCTCTAGAAACTTCTGAGATGTTCAGCACAGACACAGAACAAGCCAACTGTGTGCATTCACAGAGGCCACGAGGAAGAACACCTGATCACAATAATCACCCAATCTCCTGAAAAGAACAAAAAGCTAATCCCACAGCTACAAATACTGTACTCAACCATCCCACACACTACCCCAGAACACAGAGTTCTAACTCCTGTCCTCTGAAGATGCCAGCCACAGACACTGCTGAAAAGCTAGGAATAAAAACCTCCAGAACATGGCCAAACAGCCCGAAAAATGCAAGTTAAATTGAGAAGTATAGTACAGTGGTGCCCCGCATAGCAACGTTAATCCATTCCAGGATTAATGTCACTATCCGGAAACATGGCTAAACGGAAAGAAAAACCCCATAGGAACACATTAAACTCCATTTAATGCGTTCCTATGGGGCCCAAACTCACCGGTAAGCGAAGATTCCCCATCTGGCCGCCATTTTCGCCGCCTTGGTAAGTGGGGGCAGGGCGCAAAAACGCTGCGGGCGGCCATTTTCTGCACCTGGTGGCCATTTTGGAATGGCCGATCAGCTGTTTTTAGAACATCGCAATGTGAAGATCGGCACCGCAAAGCGATGTTTTGCCACCTAAAACATTGCAATGCGATCGCATTAGCGATCGCAAAAAAACGCATCGCTATGCGGATTCGTTGTTAAACGGTGCGCTCGTTATGCGAGGCACCCCTGTATATGGAGTACTATTTGTTGAAATAAAGTTATAGAGGCTGAAATCCTACTGATTCGTTATACATACAGAAGGAAACAGTGTAATATTTAGTCACTTCCATCTGGCAATTAATGAGTCTCCCTGGGAATCTCAAGTGAATGCTAAGATTCCCTGAGATGAGTCCTTACATTCTGTATAGAAGCAGCTGAATGATACACCTTTTGTCTTTCATATGCATAACAAAGCAACAGGATCTCATCCAGAAGCTATTTGGTTATGCTCAAAATATAAGAATCACCTTGTGAAATAGTGTTTTTGGCACCATGTCAGCAGAGCAGATTTTTTAAATTGAAGAGCCTCAAAGGAAAATAACTCAGCAGATGAAATCCTGTATTTGTAACTATGCCTACGGAAGTGTGATGATGTCACCAGCAGGGAGCTATTTTCAGTAATTAAAATTTCCTACTTTTGTTCCCTTCTAATCCCTTTCATCCTGTGGAAGCTTTGGGAACTGCAGAATGAAAGCAGGATGCCTACCCTGTCATCATCATATGTCTAATGTTACCCCAACACAAAGTTATCTGAGAAGCTGAGAATACATATATACAATCACACAACCGTGAAGATAGAAGCAAAGTACAACAGGTATTTCAAATATTTTTGTTTTGCACTTTAAATGATGATCTGCACATGCTATTTCTTTCTTAGGACTTATCAACACAGGCTAATTGGAGTAGGCTAAATAGGGTTGCCATAGGTCACAGAGAGATCTAGTATGCCATTTGGTGTGATCATTGCACCCAAATGGTGCATACACCTCAAGCAACCCAATTTGGTCCAGCTTCTTCTGCTGTCTATTTCCCATGTTGTGAAGTGGCTTAGTATCGCAAGCCCTTCACGATACTGGCAAATAAACTTCCTCTGCTCTAATACAGTCTAAATATTTTTGTAACTCCCTCTGTCCCTACAAGAAGCAGAAATGTTTAATGTGCCAATATTCTGAAGTAGCTATCTTTTAAAGGCACTTCACAATATAGGAAATTCAAAGACGAAGGCTCTCAGCACTTTTTCAGCACTGGAAACAAACCAAGATTCTACCCACACCAAAAAAAGTAGAAGCCCCTGACAGTAAGGTGCAGATAGAAACACTCTTGAGATGGGCTGGCTTTCTCCAGCAATTAAATTGTGTGGTCGATATCAAAAGGAATGAATCAGCTTGTCCCCACTGGGGACAAAACAGCGAGTTCAACACCTGTCTATTTCATTCCTGGTCTCCCAGTGGAAAGTAAGGCTACCATCCTCACCCCACATTGTCTGTACCTGCAGAATACAAAAAGCAGGTCACAGTCCACCAAGTCACTATCTAGATGTTATCCTGGCTTCCCAAGTTCCTCATTATCTAGGGAAATTGCACTGAATGAAAATCATACAGCTCTGCAGCAACTGTCACTTACATCTTGGGTTAAATGCTTCCCTACACAAGTGGGGAGTGGCGAGTTTGTGGCAAGCAGGGCTCCTCTTGTAGAGGCTTTCCTGTCCTTCCTAAGAGGCGGCAGCAAGAAGTTTGAACAGCCTTCTTCTTTACTCCATCTGTTGAAAGAAGAGAAGATGGGAGAGGCTGGTGAGGGAGCTGTCCAACACTTTCCCTACTTCCCATCAAGGCCACCTCAGGTCTCTTCAGCCACCACTACCCTGACCTGAGAGGGAAGGCAGAAGAACCTGCCAGGTTAAGGCAAAAACAGCATCTTTCTCTATAGCCAAGGTCGTATTATTCATAAGGCGGACTAGGCTGAAGCCTAGGGTCTAGGAGGCCTGTCAATTTTTATTTTTATATTTATTTGCTAAGGCACCTGAGGGTTCCAATGGTTAAAGGCACTTTGCACTCTGCACTGTAGCAATCCTGCATATACATATTTATCCATACACTGTCTATACTCTGATATAGACACTATCTATCTAATTATTTCTATACACTATTTTAATCCTCGCACAATAAAAATGTAAAAGAAATTCTGAATAGAACTTTTCCGGAGACCGTCAAAACGGATCTAGGGCTATGGTACCAGCCCTACCGGAGTCGGGCTGTCAGCTGTGGTGAGGTGAAAGACTGAAGTGCCAGAAGGTCTTAGGGGCCCTGTCTCTAACCCGCCAGACCCTCCCCCCCCCAGGGAGCAGGCCGGTCCCGAGGGCCCTTTTTATATTCTTAGCAGGAAGGAAATTCATGAAGACCCGACGAGGTCCCACCGGAACGCGCGAGGTCTCCGAGGTGGGTCGCGAAGGCACAGGACCACCAGAGAGGCGCGGGGCGCGTCTGAAGCTTCCCTCGCGTGTCTGTCGAGCGCCCGGTCTCTCGTCCATACCGGCAGACAGGAAAGGGCAGGAACGGCTAGGCTCCGGCGGGGCCGCTTCGGTCGCCAGAGGGCGAGTCGGTGGTTGCCAAGAGCAAGACCCTTCCGGGACTCGCGGGAAAGGGAGCCGGCGGGCCTGAGCCCTCCTGGAAGCAGCCAGCCAGCCAGCCAGCCAGCCGGCGCCCCCGGGAAAGGGGGAGGCCCGGCGGCCTCGAAAGCTTCGGTTGGAGAAGATGGCCTTCCGGTGCCCCTAAAGCCGATCAGGGGGCGCGGGGCGGGGAGCAGGCCGGCCACACACACACCCCCACAACCCCTTTCCCTTCCGGCCACTCGGCCAGACTCACCTGCAACGTCTTCTCCCGGCCGGGTCACGTGGGCACCTCCCCAACTCTCGCGCGCTCCCCGTCGCGTGGCTTCCAGAACAAACCTATCAGTTCTAAAGGAAATCAACCCTGAATGCTCACTTGAAGGACAGATCCTGAAGCTGAGGCTCCAGTACTTTGGCCATCTCATGAGAAGAAAAGAGTCCTTGGAAAAAACCTTGATGTTAGGAAGGTGTGATGGCAAGAGGAGAAGGGGACGACCGAGGATGAGATGGCTGGACAGTGTCTGCGAAGCAACCAACATGAACCTGACACAACTCCGGGAGGCAGTAGAAGACAGGAGGGCCTGGCGTGCTCTGGTCCATGGGGTCACGAAGAGTCGGACACGACTAAACGACTAAACACACAGGCTTTTTTCTTAGCTTGAAGCGCCTGGAGCAACCGCTCGCTTATTTATGTACTGTATTTAAAATATTTTTTTAGCCCACCTTTCTCCTTAAAAACGAACCAGGGCGGATTACACCATTAAAAAGACAATATGTAGAAGGTAAAAACAGTAGGTATCCAAGTATTTAAAAAGAATTCAACAAAAAAATAGATTAAAAACGGTAATAAAATCAATAATAAAACACCTTTAAAACAACAGAGCACAACCATTCATTGAAACAACCCTCTCAGCCCACCAGTTATTAAGGGAGATCCTGCCCGAAGAGAAAGGTCTTTGCCCGCTTGGAGAAGGACTGCAAAGGGAGGTGCACCTGTGGGAGGGGGTGTCAGAGTCTGGGAGCAGCCACCAGAGAAGGTTCTCTGTCTTGTCCCCACCAAGCACACTTTTGAGGGTGATGGGATGGAGAGAAAGGCCTCCCCTGATGATCTTAAAGCCCAGGCAGGGTAATAGAGGGAAACGCGGTCATTTACATAGATTGGGCCCAAGCAGTTTAATATTGTATACAGTCCCCTGACAGTCCACACAACGTATGCTGGAATCCCTCCCTTGGTTACGGTTTGAGACACCACGGTTGTCTGTTACATTTTTCCCTATATACTGTGAGTGTTGAAGTGGGAAGGCACAAACCAGGAGTCTCAAACTCAATTTACCTGGGGGCCGCTGGAGGCAGAATCTGGGTGAGGCTGGGCCGCATCAGATTTTCTGCCAAGCGGAGCAAGAGCCCGAGGAAGCCACCCAGGAGTTTCCTTAGCCCAGCTGGGGCTCCGAGGAGGAAGGGCGTGCAAGCTCTCGTCGCCGGCCACGGCCCCCTCCAGTTCCTTCTTCACTGCCACTACCAGCAGCAGGATGAAGAAGTGGAGAAGGGAGGGAGTGCCGGTGACCACCTAGCCATAGGGAGGAGGGCACAACATAAAATTAAAAAAAAAAACCTCACAGAATTTGCCTTGCCAAAGGAGAAAAGCCCCCACCAGTATCTGTGAAATTAAACAGAGGGGGCGGGGGGGGCCCACAGGTGCGCGCGCATGCAAGCACACAAACACTCATACACGGAGGTCTGGCAATCTTTTGAGGGCCCTCCTCAAAAAAGGCGCACTCAGCAGCAGCAGCTACCCCTACCACGACAGAGGAGCATACGTTGCAAGGCGAGCCTAGGCAGCCTCCACAGCCGAGGCAGCTGAAGCAGGAGGAAGAGGAGGAAGCACCACCGGGTGCTGAGGCTGCCACTGACCGGGCTGGTGCTGGGAGTGCCGAGAGAGAAAGAGAGCTATTTCCCTGGAATAGGCGGCGGCGGCAGCTGCTGTTGGTGGCTTGGAGGCACTCTTCGAGGACGGGCCAGGAGCGAACTCCGCTCTCAGGCATTGCCCAATGGTGGCTCAGGCACTCAGGGAAGAGGGCCAGCAGCGTGCCTGGCTCGCCAGTTTTCCCACAAGACAGTGCCTCTTGCACCCGCCATCCGGAACTGCAGCCTGCCAGACAGAAGACAGATGGGCTGGCTGGCAAGCTGCAGTTCCAGATGGAGGGTGCAAGAGGCGCTGTCTTGGAAGACAGCTGGCGAGCAAGGCTTTTTTTTTACTCTTGACAGCTGAGGATGTGTGGGCGCTTTGGGGGGGCAGGCAAGGCGAGGGCCACAAACTATCATCCGGGGGGCCGCAAATGGCCCCCGGACCGCATGTTTGAAATCCCTGGCACAAACAGAGCACCAGCTGCTCAAGAGAATAAGGCAGAGTGTTCTTTCAAGGCTTGGAAGAGAGGTGTAAAAGTCATAAGTAGACCAAGACCTTAAATCTAGTACATTAGGCTCATGGAAACAATCTTCTTTGAATTCAGAGGGACAGCCTTTTGTGTGAACAGCCGGAGATTTGTGTTGTAACCTCTGTACCTGTGTTACAAGCAGAACTGAAATCTCAGTTGAGACTTTCTGGCCAAGAAATGAACATGTTTTCCTTTCATAGCAAATAATGAAGATGAAGTAGAGGGGCTCTTTCTTCCTGTGGGAGTAGATCTTCAGCAGATAACTATACTGCCCAAAGCAGAATGGCAAAGGATTCAAGACAGCCTCACTGCCACAGCCAGAGAAGCAGCACGGATTCGTGCAGAAAGGAAAGCGCAGAAAGATCTGCACTTGAAGTCTCAAGCGCTGGTGAAGAATTGGACCAACACTATTGCAGTAAGAGACAGGTTTCAGTGCTTGTGGTTCTTTCCCAAATGTCTGGATGTATTTGTTGCCTTTTTCTTATTACAGAGCAAGCCAAGAAATGTAGCCATCAAAGAGTTTTAGCCTAAACAGAATCTATGTTGTTAGTAGAGATGAGACTGAAGTAGATTATTCGCTCCCATTCTCTTATCTGTGTGAATGTTTCAAGTGGAACTCACCAAAGTGGCAGAGCAACAAATAATAAAAGGATGTTAGTGGAAAATAGAAGACACTCTGGGGCCATTCACACTGAGTGGAGTTCATCTCCTCTTGTACCTATGATGTTGGTACTGCAACCAGGGAAGAAACAACAAAGTGGGACCAAAAAAAGAGACAACCATCTTGTTGTCTGGGTTTTTATTCTGCGTGTTTGCTCCAGTGCAGCATCTGCTCATAGGGATGCTAGCAATCCTGGTGAGTGGGTTCCATTTAATGATTTTCCTATGGGTATTTTTGTCAGTCAGTCTCCACCTCTCCATGCCTTGTGGATAGATAAAACCAGGAGGAGAGAGAAGTAGGCAGGGAAAGGGCAGAGACAGTAGACAGAAAAGGGAGGGCAGCTTGTATTGGGAGTGAGGCATCAGGGAGCAATTCCAGATGTGTTTGGCCATATTGGGATATCCCTGTACATCCAACACAAAATACCCTCCCTGTCTGTGGATGCTAGTAGTGGGATGAAGTTTTCAAATCTGTCATAAAAAAGACCACATTTACCCAGAGTAACCTCAGAAGAACCAGACAGAACACCATTGTGTGGTCAAACCTTAAATTTCCTCTGATTTGTTGTCCTTGTGTTCTTCCTAATCTGTTGTAAGTTATTGTCAGTGCACTCCTAGATGTGTCTACTTGAAAGTAAATCTCACTGAATGCAGTGGAATTGCTTCTTAGTAAGTGTCTGTATATTTGCCACAGACCACAATCTTATACATACTTACTTGTGAGTAACTCCCTTTGAAATTTGTAGGACTTAAACCTATGTTGATACAGTTGCAAAAATTTGCTAGGCTAGTTGTAAATTTGCTAGTTGTAAATGTTGGCATGAAAAAAGCTACACATAGGCAAAACAAACACATGGCTATTAGTTACCCTGTTGGCAGAATTTGTGGCCATAATGAGTGTTGTGCAAGTGGTTCCAATATGACAGGAGCTGCATCAGTTTATGTCCAGTGAAAAGTTCAACAGCAAATATCTCCATACATTTACCTTCTGTTCTGTGCACATACAGTTAGTGTGTGTGAATGCAAATAAGATATTTGCCATTGTCTTTGGAGCTGGTGGCAAAACTTTTATAATATGCAACAGTGAGAATTTATGCTTTTCAATAATCTTTTCTCTTGAGATGGAGTATTTAGTGGCACTTCAAAGGAATGTTGATCTGGTTTGTTTGTTTGTTTGCATGACTTTAAAGGTTCCAGCTTTGACCAATGTGCTTCTAATAACATCCCTGGTCGGAATGAGATTTATTTGCATTGCAGGGAATGTCACAAGCAAAACTGAAAGGGAAAAAAGTGCGACAAGAGAGAGGAGAAGAAGAAAAAAGAAAGGTTGACCTTGAAGAAGCAAAATACCAAGCACAGAAGCGAAAAGAGCAAATAGAACAAGCTAAAATCCAACAGTACTATCAAAATGAAAGAGTTAAAAGATTCAATGTAATGTAGATCCGGCTCCTCACTCCTGTTTTAATTTCTTATCTATGTTCATATATAGCATCCCACTAAATTTTCAAATTTTGTTTTGTAGAGAGCCCTCTTACTTACTGAAGTCTTGAAAGAAAGAGATGCTCAGATTGAATTTAAAAAGAACAGCAAACATCTATACCGCAAGAAAGAAGAAGAAATAGAGCGTGAGCATCAAAAAGCTATACAGATAGAGGAGGAAAAAGCAAAAGAGCGTCATATGAAGAGACTGCAGCTTAGCAAAGATCAACTAGAACAGTAAATATATTTACTATATCACTTAAAAAATTAAACATGACATTTGTTAGGCAGAAATATATAACAAACTATATACAACTTGAACTTTTCTAATACTTAGGAAGGAAAAGAAGCTAAATGCACTTATGGATGTTCTTGTAAAGATACAGGAATTTTTTTACTACAGCATTTGGTTAACAGCTGCTTCTCTGTTAGTGCCAGATATTAAAATCTTTGAGAGCTAACATGATATATTTTGTGGGGCCATATTCTGAACGAGCTTAACACCCTCTGCCTCTTGAAGGAAGTCTGCTAAAATAAGCAATTGCCCTGGCACTGGACTTCAAAAGAGAGAGGAACGACTTCTTAGTCTGCCATCAGCTGGAGCAAAAGTAGGCAAATGTTTGCTCCCATGAGCTCACGGGTCCCTCCTAACAGTCTATTTTGCAGCACCCACAACTGTTCCTCATCCCCAGTTTTTTAAGAAAACAAATGCTGTTCTCAAGCCACATCATACCTTTTGGTGGCGTGGATGGCACTTTTGCCAGGGGTTTGGCTCATCATGGCCCAGGGAGGGGATTTTTAACAAAATGAGAACTGACATGTGGTTTTGAAAAAGGCCCATTTGTGGTCTAGAACAGTGGTCCTCAACCTTGGGCCTACAGATGTTCTTGGACTTTAACTCCCAGAAACCTTGGCCAGCAGAGGTGGTGGTGAAGGTTTCTGGGAGTTGTAGTCCAAGAACATCTGGAGTCCCAAGGTGGGGGACCACTGGTCTAGAATAGCTCAAACAGAGGCGGGCCACATGTTTTCAGGTGCAAGAGTGGGTGGGTGTAGTCCGTGGATTTCTGGAAATTATGGAGCCCTCACTAGACAGAGAAGGGTGCTGTACGGAGTTGGGAGTTTTAAAAATCATTTTAATACATTGTAAGCCACCTGTAAGATAAGTTTTGTTGAACAGCAGATTATACATCTTTGAAAGAGTTTGCCAATGTGTGATATAAAGAAACATTGTTTCTCTTGGACAAGTGACTTGAGTGTGTGAGTTAAGGTCAGACTCACTTTCCATCTCTAGTTCAGAATTTATTTTATCTGTAGAGAGACTTTAGACACTGGAGATACATCTTATTTACCATATGATTTCCTTTTTTTTTTTTAAGGATAAAAGAGCATGAACATTTAGCAGAACTGAGCAGGCTAGAAGAGAAAAAAGAAAGGGAAAACATTCAGGCATTGGCTAAGTTACACCAAATGGAAATGTTGAAAAAGGAGCAAGAGGAATATGAACAGAAATTTAAGCGTAAGCGGGAACATCAGGTACCATGCCAGTAGTCAAACAGCTAAAGGTTGGGCTCTAAGGAATGCTTTTTTATTGTTACAACGTTATACGAACATTTAGAAATGCTGGGTTCCATAAATATTCTGCCAGAGACATAGTTAACAGATTTGTTGGTAACAAATAGAGGGCTAGTTGATTTCTCATGCTTTCCCAAGAGCCTGCAACAAGCTGACAGATTTTGTGGAGGAGCTTTTGATGTGTGTGATGGAGAAAAAGACAGCTTGAGGGCATGTGTGTTTTAGTATGTTTGTTAAACAGAAGCTAATTCAGCACCAGGAAGCCACACGTGGATTGTAATGAAATCTATGCAAAGAACAGATTGATTTTGGGCAGAATTGCAAAAGTTTTCCTTTTTGGAGATGAATTATTTCAAGTGAAAAAAATCTCCAAAGACATTATCTGTTGCGTTGTGAGTCACGAAGTTCTTCTTTTTGTAGGGGTGGGTTCACTGACAGCCTGACTGAGCTTCAGCCTTTCTCACATCCTCCTTTGGGGGGAATCTCCTGTATGTCTTCCTCTGCATGCTGTCTGCCAGACTCTTCTTCAGGAATCCTGAAAGTGGTTTTGCAGTTTCACTGGTCAAGAGGGTCTTCTCTTTCTCCTGCTCCTGTGAATCCTTTCCATGTGCTCCCACCATTATGTTTGTTCTCTCCTTAGCATTCTCCTCCTCTGCTGTGACGTTCTGTTCTTCCACCTCCAGTGCGCCTCTTGACTACTGCTGCTTGAGAGTTCTGTTGCTTGAGAGTTCTGTCCATGTACTCTTCATCTTCTCTTATAGCCTTAAGTGTGGCCACTTCTTGCTCCAATTCTTTCACTTCTTCCAACACTGCTGTATGTGTATGCTGTTTTCTTCTCAGGCAGAAAGACAAACACAGTTTGCAGGTCAGCGCCACTGAATTGTCTCTTCCCTCCATAATCCCTGTTGCCTTTTTACTTTCTTCTGTTTGTCTATGAGTGCCCCTTTGTCTTGTCTGCCTTGAAGGTCCACTAGTATATTATATCTGGAACCTCGATTTTTTTTTGTTAGAGGTCTTCTGTCAAATTCCTGTTTGCTCTTTCTGTCTGCTCACTTCTTGAGGTCTGTCTCAGTTTTATTCTTCTGCTGTGCTGTTAGGAGTTATCAAACAATGACTCTCCCGATGTTCACAGCTGCTGCTTATTACTTTCAGCAGTTATCAGGACATAACCTCCTAGGTTGTGAGCATATGGTGCTTCTGAATGAGGAATTTAATGTGGGTTATTCCAGGCCACTTCCTGGTATTAATCTAAATTACTCAGCTCTCTTCCTTTGTCACCTTGGTCTCCACTTTTTTCTTTTGTCTCTTCCTCCAGTAGACCCTTTCCTTACTACCTCCCCACTGACAAACTTCTGTTTGCTCCCCCTGTTTGCTTGCTCCCTGGGGTCTCAGTTTTATTCCTCTGTTGTGCTTCGTTAGGAGTCAGCCGGCAGAATATTGGTCCAGTAAAAGCCACAGGTTGCATGTTTTCAGAGAGGAGATGTCCAGGAGATAGTCAGCCACAGCTCTGGTAGCTGTACTGTTGGTAGCTGTACTGGTAGATGCATGAGGTTACATCAGTATGCACTCTGATGTTTGTAGGACCACTGCTATATTACATTTGGCTGAAGAAGCACAGAAGCTTAGGTTCCCCAGGGTGTGCGCAAGCTGCACTAATGTGTAACATCCTTCATGTAACATCCAGATAATGGTACCACAAAACTTTACTCACAGACCTTCCACAAGTGTGATATTAAGGACTGGATCTGTGTGATGATCCTGATAGTACTATAACCCAATCAGAGAGAAAGTAAACATGTTTGACCAAGATGATGAACTGGAACCTAGTATCCACTGGAGAAATAAAAGGGAACACTGCAAGTATTTTCCTAGTAAAGTATGTATGTTATTGTTGAATATTAGCAGTGCTTATATTATGTACCTCATTCTCATTTTTAATTCCTGGTAATCAAGAAAGCCCTTCTCATAACTCTTTAAGCATGATAAGGAATTCTTCAAAGCTATTTTGTTTTTTAAAATGTCAGTTTCCAAAATCTTTTCTATTCTTTTTTAACTGTTATTAATACTTCTTACCTTTCTCGTATTGTTAAGAGGAATTTAGAAACTATTACAAAGCAACTGGATGTAGATGGTTTGTCTTTTACCTCGCTATGTTCAGACATCAAAGACTGGTATGAGTTTCTACCCATGTCTGCTTATTACTTCATAAGACCACAAAACATCTTATCAGTCAAGATCAGTGTAAATCCCTGGTTACAAAGAGCAGCATACAGACACAGCCTAGTTCACTAGACTTTAAAAATGCACCTTTCACCCTAGCCAAAGCAGCCAAATTGGTTTGCTGCCAGCAGGGAATGGAATGAAATAAACAAACTTGCCAATTTTCCTGTTTTTTAGCTGTAAACAGCTGTGACATAGATATCAGCTTGATGCATCTGCCCAGCTCTTTTCAGAAAAGCCCCCTACGACCTCACATTCTGTCTGTAATCATTCTTCTCACAAGTTCCCTCACTGGTCCTGTTTGTCTAGGCCCCTATCTTCCATTACGTGGCCCTACTAAGAGCAAGTGACGTTGAAGACTCAAATCAGCTGCCTAGGAACCTTCCTGTCCCTTACGTCCCACTTCATAGGAAAGGCACGGGGGCTAGAGAAGCCAGCTGCACTAGGAGCCGCCATGTCAGGCCATCTTCTATGCCATGAAGCAGCAATTCCTAACGGAGGAGCTTGTTGCGGAACACTGCTTAGCTTTCCCCCAACCTGCTGAGTGGCATATATGTGTGGGGAAATAATGGGGAGTGATTTTCAATGTATATTTCAGTATGCAAAATTAACTTTCTTACTTTTGTTTTGTTATTTTAAAGGCACATGTTGCTGATCAGGTAATTCTTAGAGCTATAGAAAAACAAAAACAAGAAGAAGAGGATGATAAAATCCGAGCACATTATAAAGCAAAACAAGCTATGATTAAATTGAGAAAAGCAAAAGAAGAAGAAATGCTTAGGTAGGCAGAATGAGTGATAGGTTTTATTGAAATAAAGTAAGATGCAGTTTTCTTGTATCATTAAATTTTCCAACAGAGACACATCTCAGACACTGGGATGTTACTATTAGTCTAAATCATTATTTCAGTATTTGCCATTTGCTATATTTAAATATGTTGAATTTTTCCAATATTTTATGAGTCTAAGGTCTATGAATGTAGTTAGCTTGTTTCACTATGTATAGTAAGATAGAATTAATATTTTTTTAAAAAATCAGTTGTGGCACTTTAAAGACTAACAGATTTAAGTATGCACTGGAATAAATCCTTTAGCCTTTAAGGTGCTGCAATACGTCAGCATTTTTTGTTTGCTTGTTGTACATTATTATAGTTATTTATAAAGTTCCTTCTCACAGTGCTAACATGCATACAAAGATCTGAAACCTAATTAACACTCACTCAGGAAGTGTTTCCTCAGTGAAGCTGCCCTCACAGAACACTTTGATCAGCAAAAGTGGGAGAACCAATGCTTACAGAACTTCCCCCAGTCCCTGCTTTCTTGCTGCACATGGGGACACATGTGGGACCCTGTGGAACAGTGTGTGGAGTTGTGCAGGAAAGAAAACCAGCTCTCCCCTCCTGTTCTTGCAGCAGAAGCCTCACTGCATGGGTGTCCTTTTTGCAGATAGAAGGATCTCTTATAGAAAAGAGCTTAGAGCTCAAGCTGATGGCGAATGTGTTGTGATTGCCCCTTATGGGAGCCCAGTTCATGCAGTTCTTATTCTGCCACAGAGGAGGAGAGACAGTACAATTACTATTTAAGCCACTGGACAGCCATCTGAAGTGCCTGAATCATATATAACAAAACATTATCTACAGGATGGTAGTCTTCCATGTGAAGATTTTACTGATGTAGTAAATGTCTGAACTAAAATTGTTGTTTTGCTGACATCATTTGTGATGATGAAGAATAAATAATTTGAGCAAAGTTTATGAATGCCTGCTATTTCTTTCTAATAGATTCTAATAATATTCTTCCCAGGAAATACAATTTTTTTCATGTGGGGATACCTATGAAAAATGGTCAAATTTTTACGGTAAAAATGTTAATATTAAAAACTGCATGCAGTTATAATATCGAGGAAGATAGTATATATTAATTTTATTTATTTATTTATTTATTTTATACCCCGCCTATCTGGCCCACCGGACCACTCTAGGCGGCTATAGTAATTAACTCTTTCTATGACTTTTGAAGTCATAGACTTTTCTGTGACTTTGGGGTCATAGTTTATTTCTGGATTAAAGCTGGAAACATACTTTGTTCCTGTGCTCATAAAGACATTTTATCTCAGCATAATGGGCAGGGAATGGCAGTATTTCATGGATATCCCTGTACAGTGGTACCTTGACTTATGAACTTAATCTGTATTGGAACAGCATTTGTACATCGAAAAGTTCATAAGTCAAGGCAAAATTTCCCATAGGAATGCATTGAAAACCATTTAATCTGTTCCGGCTGTTTTTCATTCGTATGTCGAGGAGCTGTTTGCAAGTAGAGGCATTAGTTCCCATAGAAACTAATGCAAAGCCGGTTAATCCGTACTCTACCACTAGGGGGAAATTTTTTTTTAATTATTTTTCTTCTTCTGACCTAAGATGAACTTAGGTCAAAAAAGGGCAGGAAAGGGGTTTTTTGGTTCATAGGTCGAGGCTCCATTCACAAGTCGAAGCAACATTTTGTGAACGGAGCCATTCGTGACTCGAAATGTTCATAAGTAGAGATGTTTGTAAGTCGAGGTACCACTGTTATCAGTCAGCTATACTGAGACTTGCAAAGAATTATCTTGTCTATTTGTCAGGACAGTGTCACCACTCATACACTTGATGGCAGAGATGGGGCATGAGTGCTGAATCGGAACCTTCTGTGATTTACATGGATAGTGCAAGTAACCAGCAGTCATGACATACCTCACACCCTTTTGCAGAACTCAGTTAAGGAATTACTGAACTCATTGATGGACTGTTGCAGGTTAATGGAGGAACAGAGAGAGAATATTAGCAATCGTCTGCTTAAATACATGAAAAAGAAAGTGGATGATGAAGACGAGCGCATTGCCAGAGAAGTTGCAGAGACAGAAGAAGAGCTTGAGAAAGAACGCAAAGCAAAAGAAGAAAAGAATAAAGCTGATTTAGAATCCATCAGAGACCACAGAATTGGTGTGGTAAGAAAGATCCACGCCCTCTTGCTATTCTTTTTTAGCTAGTCTTTGAAAAGAAGCTCCAGTGTAATGACATGGTCATTCTGAGCAAATTGCAGAAAAGCAAGCTCCGTTAAAATTAGCAGGATGTGCTTTAGAATAGAAGTCTGTAATGATCAGTACGTTTGGCAGGTCTTCCTTCTTCACTCTGTCCTCTTACCTGGTACAGAATAGCATGGTACAAGTGGTTTTAAATTTACTGTGTTATTCCTTTGTTTCCCATCGTCATAGGGCACTGCATTAGTTGCCTAATGGTTCAGGGGCATATTGTAAAACCCTTGTTTGGACATTTAAAGCCCTACAATTTCCTTGCCCTAATTGTTTAGTAGAGCCAGTGGTCTGGCACATTCCTCTTAAGAGGACACATCGCAGATGCCAGACTTTTGTTGGTTCCTTTGGCAAAGGTGGCAAATTTCAAGCTTTGGGCATTTTCTCACTTGGCTCCAACTCTGGAATTCTCTTTTCCAGTACCTTCATATGAAACCATAGTTGGACAAATTTAGGCGAGGTTTGAAAATCTGTATGTTCAATCTGGAACCATAGGTATCAGGTGTAAGGAGGGGTGAATGACCAGTGTATTTTTACTAGAACATTTTAACTAGTTTGTGCTAGTTTAATTCTTTTTGGATCACTGCCTATTACAAGGAATTTTATGTTGATGTACAAACTCACACATTTATTAGTGTTGTTAAAGGTTGTGTTTGTGTGTTTAGTGTTTTTACTGGAATGTGCTCTGGTGTAGTGTGCAATATAAATATTATTATTTGAAAGTACAAAACACTGTTCTTGACTGGCATCAAATAACAGATAAAAGTTTTAACCAAAAACCTGTCAGTTAAATATTGGTATAATAATATTGAATATAATATTTAATAATATAATAATAATTGTTGTTATGATTAAATTCAAAACACTCTTTGACTGGTATTATATAACAGATACTGTACAAGTTTTAACCAAAAACCTATATATGAGCTAAATATTGGTATAATATGTATGTTGCTCCTAATATTGCCAATTCTATCATCATCATTCTATTAGCAGGATATCAGATTTTATTTCTGTTAGATATGAATTGGATTGTGTTCTTCTAGATAAAAATGAAGGAAGAGAAAGAGAAAGAGAGGAAACTTGAAGCTCAGCAAATACTTCGTGGACAGTTGGAAGCAGACAGGATCTATCAAGAGATGGAGAAAGATAAGAAACATAGAAATCATTGTGCAAACTTAAAATTGCAAGAAGTCCATGTCATGCAAATAGTAAGTATGGGAATTATTGCTGCTATAGGAATTAATCTGTTACTTGTTAAAATCACTTCAAAATTAGTGTTCCATTATGAGACCCTTTGCAAATGATCATACTTGTATATTAGCTCTCTCTCATCACTACTGTAAGCTTCCCAGCTCACAGCTTGTTAAGAAAGAGGGCTGTGGGATTTTATGTTTTTTTTAAACTCCAAGGCACAGATGTTATTAGAACTAACAGTAACTTGTAGTCTTGTTAGCAAAGCAATCAACTCTGAATGGTCCATGTGTTTCATATCAGGTTCTTTTGCTGCTAAATGGGCCAGGAGCTAAACAAAAAAAAAAGTTTGATTTTGTATCCTGTTCAGAAACATCAGGTGGGAAGTAGCAGCTTAGTAACAGTGTTGTCATAAAACAGTATTTCATTTCAGCTGGGTTTATGCAGGAGCACTGCTCAGTAATGGCCTCTAATCTAATTTCAAGCCGTTAAAATGAAGGCACATTTAGTTATTGACCTCATTGCACCATAGTGTTCCTTATCCCGTGTTTATTATTTATCCCAACTAGTTTTATAACTATGCTAGATTTATTACATATTGATAGCAACAGAGTTGGGAATCAGGATTTCTTGAAGTTGACAGTTGAAGTTTAAATGTATTATACAGTTATTTGCTGGGAACACTTTTCTTCCTGTCCAATGTAGGCTGAAAAGTTTGAAAGACAAAAGCGTGAGAAGCAAGAGGACTTGGAATATGCTAGACAAAAAGAACATATTGCATTGTGGAAGGAGCAGGAATTCCAGGAGTATGCAAAGAAAGTGATTGATGATACATCCAAGACCACTCGGAATCTTTACCCTCTTATTAGAGCAGCAAATGAAGGCAGTCTTGGTAGTACTGGACTAGTTCAAAGAGAGAGGCTTCAGTCCTGTGACAAGCATGACACTAAGCTACCCTATATAGGTGACACAGCTCAAGAGATGAAACTCTTGAATGAACATGGATATAATCATACTAAGGCACGATTAGGTTTTACATGGTAAAAAAAGGATTCTGAATCTTTAAAAGAATGCATTATGGAAGAATAAGAAATTAGCAAATTGTTGATACTATAGTGAAGATTGTGTCTAAATATGTTTGTACAAAAATTTCAAGAACTGTTTATTAAATGATGTGTAGTATTTTCAAGCAGTGTAAATCTTTACTTTCCCTAATTACCAGGTTTGAAAAATAGAAAAAGATCTGTAGTGATATTTTGAAAAACCAGTTTAGAAATTATGAATTTCTGCTGCTGTATTTACACCTAATTCTACTCTTCACCATCATCTTAGAACTGCAGAGCTGGAAGGGGCCCTATGGATCAGAGTCCAGCTGCTGTCAAGGAGGCACAGATTTGAAAATCACCGAGTCCAGCTCCTGTCAAGGAGGCTCAGATTTGAATGCCAGTAAGAATTTACACTTGTGATGAAACTACTTGCTCTTCATTTTCCATATATGATTTTAGATTGAAAACAGCCATTTAGTCCCAAATCTGAGATTTCCGATCATCTATTCACCTCTACCATGCAAAATGGGGAGCCACAGGCAGGGGAAAATACTAGGTGGCAACATCCTCCACTTGACTGGCAAACCAGATGTGCAAGAGTGAGATTTGGGGCTGCAGAGGAGATCCAACCAGAGGAAGGAGGTTCAGACCTCTTTCCTCCTATCCTCCGTTTTTCCCTTGCAACTGCTGTTCTTCTCTGCTTTATAGGTCAGGCAAACCTAGAACTGAAAATTGTTGATTGAACATAAAAAGAACAAGTGTCTGGTTATGTATGCAAAATAAAAAGGTTGGGCAAACTATTGTGGATTGCAAATTTAAAATAAATGCTGTCCTCAAAATTGAGTCATTTTTATGATAAGACTTTTTAAAAGTGCCCCATTTGCTCCTAAAATGTCATACAATCTTCAGTAACATGCATTCCCTGTGCAATTTCTTAACAGAGAGAATGCACCACTCCCTCCTCAATTTTAACTGTTTTTAGTTAACTAAAAATGGAGCTGGCACCTAAAAGTCTTTTATGTACAAATCTACAATTACCCCTTGTATTCTTCATTTTAACTTAAATGAAGGAGAAAATGAGTTCTTTCTGTCACTGCTATTGTGAAACCACAGAGAGAAACTCTTTGAAAGTCTACTTCAAATCACCCAGAAATCCTTTTGTACATGTTCCTGGGGCTCTGTCCATAGCCCATTATAGATAAAACATTCCTGGTTAGCCAACGATGTGTCCCAGCAATTATCGTAAATAATAGAATCTATAGTGATACAAGAGAGTGTCAAAATGGCATTTAGTTTCTCAAAATATTTTTAATAGGTAAGTTGCATGTTCCATAGCATATTCCAAGCATGTTCATCTGCTCATCTCAGCCAAGCTTTACAGACTACAAAATTATCTCAAAATAACAGATTTCCACACTCTTCAGGTAACACAGAGAACTATTTTGTTATCCAGAATACTCATACCTTCCAAGAGATCTGTGAGTACGCACCCAGTCACTACAGTGTAATGGTTCAGGTACAGTTTAATCATTCTATAACCATTTTTTTTTTTACAGAAAACACACCAAAGTTAACACAGATATATTTTTCTGTACAGCTTTACAGAGGTATATGCTAAAGGGACTCTTAAACACAACCTAAAAATCATTTCAACTTGTTATAAACAAACATGTTATAAACATGCTCTGCATGTTCCTTTTTAAAAAAAAAGATCAATTGTTGCAATATAGTGCAAAGTTTTAGGCTGGTATGTTCCCTATCCTCAGAACCATGATGAATGCAAACATTCCGTCTTTTAATATTCAGACTTGCATACAAAGAGCAAGTACAAAGATCCAGTGCTGCAAATTGACTGCTGTGGCAAACATCACTTTGAATACATGGACTGAAGACTAATTTAATAGGTCTGCTTACTGTAGTAGTAACAGCCACTTGCGGCCAAGTCAGTTTTGACTTATGGCAACTTGTCCCAAGGTTTTCTAAATATATAGTACTCAAAAGTCAGGGCACACTGGGGCCATGTAGCTTGCCCAAGGCCACACAGGGAAGCTTTTTGGATAATCTATGGAAACTCGGTGGGAAGCAACACTCATATAACCTTTAAAATTTCACAAACCTTGAAAGTCCTATTAAGATTCCATAAGTTGAATGCAATTTGGCAGAACATAACTCATACACACAATCTGGACATATCTTGTTACATTTCATGCTTCATTTGAAGTCAGGAAGTATTCTATTTTTTTAATAATGAACACCAAATGGCATACTCGTTTTTCACTGGATCACTCAATATTTAAATAAGCTGTCATTAAACTAGATACTTTTTGGCTCCATTCAGGCATATCTTGGCTCAGTAAGTTAAAATCTGTAAAATAAGCCTTGTGCCCTTATACTGTCCTTTCCTTGCTTCTCTATGTACTAAAACTGAAGACCTTTGGGTTAATGAATCATAGCATCTTGTTATGCTTGAAGTGAGGAGAAACTTGCAACTGTGGTTTGTAGAATGATCTTCAAAACAGACACGTTAGTTCCATTTCTGTGCAAAACAATATTCAGGAGATTTTAGAGTTGGGTGAAATGGATTTCATGAAGCACACACAAAGAGGTGCACACACCTCCTGCTCAGTTCCTCACAGACAAGTGCAGCAGCTCTGTGAGGAAATATGATAGACTGATTCAGCCAGTGGAACCTGCAGCTGGGAAGTATGATGATCCTATATATAGGATAATACCAAGCTGAGTTACTTACCCAGAGGCAGTGTAGATGGCATCGGACAATGATAGGGCTCTAATGCAGTTCATCTGAAGAGGTATGCCTGAATTCAAACATCTGGAACATTTCTAGACAGAGGGTTCCTTACTCTAGCAGTAAGAACATACAGTATTACACAGCTATTCTCATCAGATTTTCTTGTGTAAGGAAAAAAGGTGGAAGTAGTGGAAAAACAAACGTAGCTAGTGGAGGACAACATCGCCTTAAACGCCAGAGGATGAGGTTAGTGATAGCATGATAAAAGCCTCACTGAAATCACTCTTAACACCTAATGTGAAAACAAATGACTAAACTATGACCCTACATTGGATCCAAAAGGTTGAGAGGGGGGAATAGAAGTTTTTAATGCAGGGGAGGGGGAATACCCTGTCTTAGGCTGAGGGAGGGGTCTTCATATGTATGCTTTGGGAAAATAATTTAATGGAGAGAGGTCATGGAGAATGTAACGGCACATGGACCTTAGTTAACACCAGAAGCCAAAACAATGCATAAGACAGCTTGATAGAGGAGGCACAAAAAGCGCAGAGTAGATACTGACAGACCTTTCTTGTGACCCTTGTAATAGATGAAAAGGTCATACCATAAAGTATGGAAATGCCATTTTAAGATTGAGAACAAACAAGCTAGAATAAATGAGCAAGACAACGCCCTGGTTTTAATAGAAAGTTGAGCAGAAAATAAGTCTGATTTGAATACTGCCTTGTCACAGTTAAGGGTTAAGTACAGCATATCTGAACAAAGGGCATAAGGTACACTAGATTGCTTCATAAGATACAAATACGGAAAACTAAAAATTACTGGAAAGTAATTTTGAACATTAACAACCCCAGGTCACATCTTTAATATATACATTTACAGTATTAGGAAGCAGTGACTTGGGGAAGTGACTGCCAACCTTGGGTAACCCAGAAGACTTCACCACCAGCTGTGCTGGCCAGAGTTTCTGGGAGCTGTAGTCCAAGAGCACCTGGGTTACTCAAGGTTGGGAACCAATGGCTTAAGGGATCTTGCATTCAGTTGCATGAGAATCATCAACAGGCTGGTGAGCTCAAAACAGTGATTCACCATCTTGAGTCATGGCAACTGGACTTATTAGGTAGAAACATTTTGCTACTCATCCAAGTAGCTTCTTCAGTCTGAGAAGAGTTGATAGGAGGCCTCTAGTATATCGTCCAGGTTGGTTTCACTTCCCCCTGGTCTGAATAGGCTCCTTAGAAGGGCAAAGGACTGGGGGTGAGGGATAATCCCACTTCTGCAGTGTTTCTCAATTCATTGTCATGGGTCGTTAACAGTTGTTAACAGTCGTCTTTCTGGTGTGTGTGGTTCTGATCTTTCTGGAGAAGGATGAAAGGGCAGCTATGCTAAATAGGAGACAGATTGTATCTAAGGCCTTCACCCCTCTTGAGTCAGGGATTTTCTGTATGCACATGTATGGCTTCCCTGACCCTTCTCTCAAACCACCTGTCTTCTTGGTCCAAAATGAGTACATCTTGGCCATCAAATGAGTGTCCTTTGTCCTTCAAATGAAGGAACACTGCTGACTGTGATCCTGAGCTGTTGCCCCTCCTGTGTTCAACCATTCTCCTGTTTAGTGGCTGTTTGAGTTCTCCAGTGTAGAGCTCGGAACACTCCTCTTTGCATTGGACTGCACATACTATATTGCTCCTATTGTGTTTTGGTGTCCAGTCTTTTGGGTGGGCGAGTCTCTGCCTTAATGTGTTCATAAGTTTGAAGTGCACAGGAATTTTGGTGTGTTTTCAGACACACCCGCCATGTAAGGAAAGACCAGGTTCTTATATCGGCTCTGGGTCTCAGACTGTTCCATTCTCCTGATGGGTCGGGACATTGCCTTGTTAAAGGCCCATTTTAGATATCCACAGCCTTTAAGGGCTGTCTTCAGATATCCATCTTCCTTCTTTATGGCTTTTGTGGAGGTGGGGTTGTTTCTTGCTCTGTGGTTTAGTTCTGATGACCTCTAGTTTGTGTTGCAATAGGTGATGAGGGTTAAACTGCATGTATTGATCAGTGTCGGTAGGTTTTCTGTAGATTTCTATTCCTAAGCCTGCAGAGTCCATGAAAGCCAGCTGGTTATCTTTGGTGTCTTCCCTGGTGAACTTAATATTTGGGTCCACTGTGTTTATGTGGTCTGCGAAGGCCTGTATTTCCTGAAACTTGATTTTCACTCAGGTGTTGTCCATGTACCTGAACCAATGGGTTGGAGTCGTCCCCTGGAAGGTGTTTAGTGCCTTCTTTTGCACTTCTTCTATGTATACATTGGCAACAATGTGCAACGCCAGGGAACTCATGGTACAACCATGTTTCTGTCTGTAAAAGTCACATCTGTAGGTGAAGTAAGTGGTGTTCAGACACAGGTCCAGGAGCAGGGATATCTTCCTTTGTCCGCCAGCAATATGGTGATGGTCTCATTCCTGCTGAGAGACGTCAGAGCACTTCTTCCTGTCTGATGAGGTTAGATGGTGGTGGTTGAGTGCTGGAAGGCTTTACAGAAACTTTCATATG